CGATTTTGGGAAACGTTTCTTCTCCGGGCAACGGTTTGAAGGGAAGTGCAGAACAAAAATTGCTGCACCTCAAAACTCGCAAGGCCCCTAAAAAGCGCGGAGGAATCTGACATATGCCGCTTTTGCGTTTTTGCCAGACGGACGTGTATATATTATGTATGATGTGAATATTTTTCATTCATCGACTAAATTCATAAACGTGCATTCTATACTGATATTCTGACGATAAAGTCATACATGGACATGGGACCGGATATTCAGAATCCTGGCCAAGGCACAGAAAGCAGCCTTTTAAACTCTAGGTTGTTAGTTAAATGAAAATGGAGCATGAAAAGTTAATTAATTGAACAGAGCGAAAGAAATTGAACTATGACTTAAAAGATGGATTATATGACTTCTGCTAATTCACTTTTTTGACTTAAATTAATGTGTATATTATAACAATCACACTTTGGCAAAGTACTGACACGCAGACGACCGGCTTGAACCTTGCTTAGCTTGCTAATAACTTTGCAATTCATTGAGTAATTTTGACAATTTGAAAGAGGGCTGCAAATTGTCCCATATCACATGATCAATAATTTAGATCGCATGCATGTTGTATTAATGCGGCCGTAGATTTAAATATTGCGCTGCTGCTAAATAACAATAAAGAACAGACTATTGACAACTTTTGGTTCTGAAGAACTAAGCTCTGTTGCATGTTTCTAGAACTAGTATGGCCAGATCGTGGCTGCACGCGGGGATATAGTTGCCCTCACTTTCCACTGTGTGCCTTAAAATAATCAAAGATGGACCCACACCAAGGGCACCTCTCTGAAGCAAAACTTCAAAATCTTCCGAAATTTTTTTTTTAACTCGAAAAATTTTGGCGACCTCCACCGCCGCCCCCCCCTGTCGCCAAAAAAATTTCGGTCAGTGTACTATTTTAGGGCTCAAAAATTTTTTCCGGACATACAAGAAGTCAGATATAAACTATAAATTGTCTGAATCTCATGATTTTCGTACAAAAACCACCGTTGTAAATGTGATTTATCACGTATTTTTTATAACTAAAAGGGCACTTCTGCCCCCCCCCCTAGCAAAAGGCAAGGGGGGCAGCCGCCCCCCCCCTGGGAATTTAAATGGGAATTTAAAAATGCTTCGTAAATTGTAATATGCGTAATATGCATTCGTGGGTTTAGTACTTTATGCCTGACATAACAAGTTTACGCTGAGTATTACCATTCATTATAGCAGTTATGTCAATCTTTTATGCACTCGTGGGATTAACTTAGTGCCAGGGCATTGAATATCGAACAATACGTCAATTTCAATGATTTTGGGTTTTTTTGAGACACCCTGTATAGAAATTATCTCATTGTTCTTAAGCCGCTCTTAAACGCGCGTGATTACACGCCTGGGAATTTAATGAACTTGTATTTACATTTAAGCATTTTAAAACGTTTTCGCTTTGTCCAAATATTTTAACGCCCGAGTCAAGCAAACCGATTACACTAATAAACGGTTTGCTTTTTTATTTTAAATTCCAGAAGCAGAAGTTTATGCACCTGTGGGATCAACTTAGTGCTAGGGCATTCAAATTATAACAATAGGATAATTTCTATAGTGTCACTTTTTTTTGGGACACCCTGTATATTATATGCGACTGCTATACCGCACAAAATTCAGCCCCATTAATTGTCACCACCTCTTTTAATTGGTTGATCGCAAGAAAGATAACTATGTAATAAAACGAAAATGTTTAAAACAGAAATTTCGATTGTAAATTGTACATTCATTTCGACCTAATCAGGAACAGCTGCGATAAATGTATCAACTTTCCACTTCAAATTTCCATCCACAAAATCTTTGAACATTTAGTTCAATCGAGTTAGATGTCAAAAATCATGATATTTACTCATATACCTTACCATGGCATCACCTTACTATACATTCATGGACTTGCGGTTGTAACTCAGTTGGTTAGAGCGCTGCACCGGAAACGCCGGTTCGATTCCAGCATGCTGAGGGCCTTAGAACGTTCCAAACTAAATTGGGATTTTCCAAAGGACAAAGTAGCATTTTATCCGCAGAATTTAAAAAAGAAACGTAATTATGCGGACACGCCGCATTTTTTGCTAAAAACCCTTATTTTTGTGGGAAAGCCTTCAATTCCGCACATTATTACACTATTTATTTTTAATATATTCTACATCAATGTTCACTCATGTTTAAAAATTACGCTCGAAATTCCATCCACAAATCCTTCAACATTAGTTCAGTCGAGCTATAGCTGCCCCATTTAAAATCCTGCTATGTTTATACAGTCTCGTTTAATTTAAGATGGGATTTACTTTTCGTGATATGTTTTGTAATCAGTAATATGCTGCTGGCTTTCATTCCAAGGCAGGGACCGCGGAGACGGGGGGCTGGGGGGGCTTTAGCCCCCCCACTTTTTTTGACAGCCAAAATTATTAAAATAGAAATCTAAATGAAACTTTCTAAATTAATTAATTGGGGGTTTTATTGATGATTTAGCCCCCCCACTCTCTAATACGCTCCGCGGGCCCTGCAAGGAGGGAAAACTGCGAAGAAAGGGAATATGCCTTTATTTTCATTCGAGACTATACAGAGGTATAATAAAAAATATAAAAGGGTCCTTATATGGAGATGCTGTGCCATGGGAATTTTACAATCTGAAATTCCAAAGTACGTGGGCCGAACAATTTCGCCCGCAATGAAGCCGAGTTTCTGGCGACGTCGTATTAATTGTAATCGCTTTTAAGTCGCGCATTCATAATATGGTCAGTGTTTTGAGGAGGCATGCAAGTAGCCGCCTGCACCGCGGACATTTTGGGATCTATGTTTGTTTTATTCGGAAGCTTATTTGAGCATGGAATTTTATTCGCCCCACAATCGCGATTATGAGGGAAGACCTTCTTGGGATAATGTATTTATCTTCTGGGCGTAACGGTTTGCGTAACAAAAATTGCTGCACCTCAAAACTCGCAAGGCCCCTATAAAGCGCGGGGCACTTGGTATATGCCGCTTTTGGAAAGGGGTATATCTAGCCATGAAAACTAGTTATCGTCTGATTAGGAAAACTTTTTGCGCACTAAATATTAGTAATAAATACCTACTATATATATTTGCATGTATAGATTCATTCACGGCCATGGGCAAGAATTTTCAGATTCTGACCAAAGCTCAAAAAGCGGCCAGTTGAACTCTTGGTTGTCAAATAAGTGAAATTGGAGGATGAAAAATTTAAGATGAACAGACCGAAGGAAATTGCATGAATGACTTTAAAAATTGTGTATATTACTTCTACAACTTAATGTATTATACATTTTCAGTTTAATCATAGATGTATACACGTTAATTTCTAGTATGTAAACCAGAAATGTTGGTTTTAATTATAGGTGTGGCTGATTGATTTATTACTATATGCTATAGCTTACCTGTATGTGCGTTGCCTTTGCGTTGCAAAATTTTGACTTCTTGTCAGAGCGGAAAACCAATAAATAACTGAAAACGAACAACTGAGAAACGACCGTTTACACTGCTTCGCATAATTATAGTTAATGAACATCTGGTAAATATATACGCATCATTGGTTGTACATGGCGTCATAATAACGAAAACTGTAATTAACACGCCGAAGGCGAAGGAGAAGTGATTACCGCGGTGAATATATTCATGCACCGAGACGAATTCAATAAGGTGAATCTGACGCAGTGACGCGAATAAATGTTTTAGTCTAATTTCTCAACGAATAAAACAAAATATCCAAATATCAGTTTTATTAAAATTCTGAAATAAAAATGTTTTCGGCCAGTTCACAGTTACTGTTTTAGTGTTGCAGTGTTTCTTGCACGCATATACGCTTTCAAAATGGCTTCCTGTGTGACTTCATTGAATTGTTTTAGTACAAATTAAGTTGTTTTTCACAATGTTGCATGGGATGAATGGTGCCATATAGTTTCTGTTTTGTATTAATTTGTTCAGGAAATGGCTGAGAAAATTGGTAAAATTACAAGTTTCGAAAACAGAATACATGTAGCGTCAGAATACGTTGCAGGACACCAAACATGATATATTAAAAGAAAAAGTGTTACAGAAATTGAGATATCTATACCCTACAGGATACAAAACAAAATGGTTTTAAAAGAATATCACGGCGGAAAGGTTTTCCCAACACTCTGTCTGTGTCTAGATGCGCGGCACTAATAACATAAGTATTCACAATCAGGAAAATAGCTCATAATTTTAGCAGTCTAAAAAGGCCATTGCGGCTAAAACATGCAGCTGAAACGTTCTTGGGGGTGGGATCGACAACAGTTGGGATAGTTTTGCTATAATTTGTTTGAACTGAAGTGAACTTGTTTCGGAGTTTTAAATAAGTTTCAACTTTCAACAGTTAAATTGTCCGTGAATATGTTTGACATGTACAGTAAAATAATAAAGGAATCCTAGCTACCTTTCAAGTTAAATACAAAATGTTTTGCCTCATTTGTTTTCTGGGGACGATTTTTTCAATATTTTAATAATTTAAAACAAAATTTGTCGAATCAATCTTTTTGAAAAGCATTTATATGAGCGTGCTCATGAGAAACCCAAATAAGGTATGCTCATATAAACACCCTCATATATATGTTAGAATGTTAGGGTTTGTAATCCAAGTGAGAATATATACATTTTAAGACCTAACCAGGAACGACTGCGAAAAATGCAGCACATGCAAGGTCCTCTGGTAGGAATTGAACCTACGGCCCTGCGATTCCGGAGCAGCGGTCTAACCAACTGAGCTACAGAGGCCAGCTGTTGAGCTGTAACCGTAAGTTCATGTATATGTAGGTAATCGGGTATGCGGGTTGTGATAAGGTGGACTTGAATAACTTAGATTCTTGCACTTCACTTGGTGGAATTAATATTAGGATGTTAGGGTTTGTAATCCAAGTGAGAATATATACATTTTAAGACCTAACCAGGAACGATTGCGAAAAATGCAGTACAAGGTCCTCTGGTAGGAATTGAACCTACGGTCTTGCGATTCCGGTGCAGTGCTCTAACCAAGTGAGCTACAGAGGCCAGCTGTTGAGCTGTAACCGCAAGTTCATGTATATGAAGTGCAAGAAGTATAGGTTATTTTGACGCAACGAGGGGATATGTGATTTATTCACCGAGGCGCGCAGCGCCGAGGTGAATAAACACATATCCCCGAGGTGCCTCAAAATAACGTACTTATTTTTCACATTGCGAGGTCGCGTTAATGAGACAGAATAGAAATAATTCTTAATGCCATATTGCCTTCGTTATGTTGTTTTTTTCTCATTTTTTGTGCTGCAAAGACATTGCAGGTGAATATTAGAGGGGATTATAACCGATTATTAATTGCAGGTGAATATAATAGAGGGGATTATTAAACGGAAATTGATTAGAGGGGAATATTGAATATATTCCCCGATAAGAACAAAGGAAACCGAGCAGGGTGAAAAATAATCCAAATTATTGAAGTCCACCTTATCACAACCCGCACACCCGATTACCTAAACAAGGATATTGTATAGTTTATATCGGTTTCTTTTATATGGTACAGTGTTACAATTAAGTCGGTTTATTGTTCCTTTATTATCTTATTATATATCAATTTAGTGTACTCTACATTATTGTGCGAGTATATTTGCATGAACTGTATTTGCGTTAGCTTGCTAGTGTAGGCAATATTTTGCGCTATTTCTGTTTTGCCTGCCTTGCACAATGTTCGTGACCTTCAACTGACAAACCATTTAGCGCAAAAAAGGAAGACCTTACCAACGATGAACTTTTCGATAGCCTTGCTGCTAGAGCAGACATGGGCGTACCGGAAGGAAAAAATTAGGGGGGCGGAAAGAAAATTGCCCGACTTATCGGTATTCTGCCCGACTAGTACCAAAAAAATTTTTCCGGAAAAATTATTTTGGCGCCCCCCCCCCCTAATTTCCGTCAGTGTACCATTTTAGGGGTCAAAAAAATTTTCCGAACAACCAATATTTTTCGGAACATAACACAAATTTTCGAAAAATCACAAAATTTGCCAAAAAATTTACTTAATTTTAGACAAAAATGACAGAATTTGTCCCATTTTTGTTTTGGCAAACCAAAATTGCCCGACTGTTGATCGAATATTGCCCGACTGCCCAAACTGGGCCACTGCCCCCGGTACGCCTATGAGAGCAGACGTAATCGACATAGTCATAGAGGAGCTAAAGAACGAGCTGGAAAAGATTCCTGTCCAGATCATGAAGCTCTACAATTAGGAGGCAACATACAGTTCCCCTAAAGAAGATTACTAAGGTTTCCACTATTTGTGATGTCTTGAACGAGAACGTGTCGGCAACATGGAGGCTCCGCGGCGTAATAAAACTGGTCACGGAAAAATTGATAAAAAAAGATTGTTTGTTGTGCACACGAGTAAACTTGACAAGAAACTTGTCAAGGAAAAGTTGCTCATCTGGGCCGGGCTTAAGCGCAGTGCCTTAATTTTGCATCACAAAAGATGGTGCATTTTCTGATTTTATTAAAACTGGCACCAGTGACCAGTGTTCGAATTTCCCGCCATATATAAAGTTCCGGAAATGAATCCGGATGCTGGATCATACACTGGATTACACCATCAATATGAAAATGTAAACATTTTACATTTACATTCATTTAAGCCAAGTTTCACCAAATTTTAAGTGTTTAGAAGCAAAATATTCGGAAAGTATTGTACCACTTGTCTTTCTCGATCAAGCAATTTCAATGGCGGAGACAAATATTGTGAATATGAAGAAAAATACGAGCAAAACACCAACAGAGTTTAATTTATTCGATGATAAAAACACAGGACATTATAACAAGGGAATCAAGGTTTTGTCAGAGAGCAAGGAAAGAAGATTACCAGCAGAGAAAACCCGTTTAAACAAAAGTAAATATGAGGCCATTGTATATTTAACCCTTTAAGTGGCATTTGTGCGGCGTAATTTATTTTACTCTTATAGCTATCTAGTGTCTTTAAACGCCAGGTTATTTTACTCGTCAAGGACGACAAGGAGAGAGTGCTGCCACTCAATGGGTTAATTTAGTTTATTTTAAACAACACAGTTCACACTCATGCATTTATTAACCCATAAAGTGGCAATGTGCGCCAATGCGACCTAAATTATTTTATCGAATGGCAGAAGATCTTACAGGTAATTATGGGATTTAAAGTGGGCAATTGCTAGATAGTATACTTCAAAATAAGGTTTCCGTTTTTATATCAATTTTTAAAATAATTAAAATAAGTTAGGGTTAGGTTAGGGTTTAGGTTAGGGTTAGGTTGGGGTTAGGGTGAGGGTTAGTATTAGGGTTAGGTTAGGGTGAGGGTTAGTATTAGGGTTAGGTTGGGGTTAGGGTGAGGGTTAGTATTAGGGTTAGGGTTTAGTTTTGCATTAGGATAGTTTTTTCTACGTTATAAAAACGGAAACCTTATTTTGAAGTATACTATCTAGCGATCACCATTTAAAGTGTCAGACTTTAACATCATCAGTCACTTCAGCTGCCACCCGACAGTGTGGGGCATTTGCACACTTGCAGTTCCGTGTTCACCCAGGGGTTGCATGGCATTTGTCAATAATGTTAACCAAATGTTTTAGACAAACAAATTTCTTAAAGATCCTGTAAAGTTTGTTTGGTGCATCAGTTCTGTTCATAACAAAAGGGGACCTGCAGATATGAACATTGCCCAAATTTTGCATCTTTCGAACTTTTTTGAATTGAAATGTAGAGTTTATATTCATTTACAAGCAGGGGCAGCGCTAACCCTCTTCGAGTGGGGGGGGTGAGTGATCTTTTGCCGACTGTTTGGTAATTTTGCCGAGTCATTAGCCTATAGTAAATGTGTATGTTTAAGGGGCGGACCATTTGATTTTTTAGGGGGGGGGGGTTGGAAGATTCAGACTGTGCAAGAATTTTTTTCCACCCAGGGGAATTAACAAGACATATATTTTTTCCCTGTAAAATGCAGCGCAAGATATTTTTTCCCAATATATTTCGCGGCAGGATACTTTTTTTGCCCTTTGATATAGCTATCGTCAGAGACGTAGCCGGGGTTTTCAGTCAGAGCAGGTCGAGAACTGAATTCCAACAGGGGCCAAGGAATTTTCACTGTGCTTTATTTAATATGTCTTAATGTTCCCCACACTAAAGCGTGCAGGTTTACTTACAAAAAATGTGTAACTGCACCAAAACCTAAAACATGCAGGGATAGAGTAGAGTACTCGAAAATGGGGGAGGTACAGTATATGAATTACCTGTAACCTTGGGGGGTTCGGGGGCATGCTCCCCCGAGAAAATATTAAAATTTGAACCTCGGAAATGCTATTTCCTGCGTTTTCAGCCATGGCTTCGTCAACAACTTTGCTGTACTAAGCCTAAGGAACACTTACTGTCCTTATTTTAAACAAGGGAAAATTAATAATATTTTGATTAATTAATAAGTAATAAAACAAGATTTCAATAATGCGATTTTTAACTGCCCTCCGAAACAACAATGTTCCACCATGCAAATATAGCTCTGTACTGTCTGTAGCTTTTCAATGAATTGTTCATACAGATAGCTTGTTGGGGATCGGGTTGCATCATTTTCAGAAATTTTTTAAAATCTATACTCTCTAAACTGGCATTTTCGCATTAAAATCATCGTATATGCAGTACGTTCAACTTGCATCCTGTAGATGGGCCTATGTAATTTGGAGCTATGCTATCAAAAACGCCATCCAAAAATACTTTTTCTACCATGCATATTAGATATGTATAAATAACTTATAAACTTGTACATATCTTAAGCCCAGATTTTCTCGGGGGGGGGGGACAATTTTGCCAGAGAACACCACGGTAGAATCCCTGTGATGTTGTCCACTGTTCACCCCGTGTTCTTCCAAGCGAATGTGCCTGCTCAAAAATGCAAAAATTTTGCAAGCCTGTGGACACAATACTGAAGTGAAGAACGTTGAGCGCTCTCTCTTGCATGATATTTTTTTCTCGATTATATGCTGCATGATATATTTTTTTTCTTTCTCCTTGGATTGCAGGAAATTTTTTCGAAATCTTCCAACCCCCCCCCCCCCCC